CTTCTCAAGAGCATCTGTGTTTTCATTTTTAATCTTTTACCCTTCCTCCCACAGTGGACTGAGGAGTGGCTCTGCCTCCCACCACCTAGACCAGGTCGGCCTGAAGCAAAGGCAGGTTCCGCAGCCATTTGCAGCCTCCCTCCAGCTCCTCCACCGAATAACAGCCCTTCCTTCCATTACGTGACTAAACACAGCTCTGCTTCAAACACTTGGAACCGTTCATGCTTCCCACAGGACCTTGCAACTTCTGGGTTGTTTAGAAAAAGCCATCTTCCTCCGCGCAACCCCTTGCATGGGAGCGGTGCTTCTCCTCCTCCTCCTCACCCCAGGCGCACGCGGGTCACGTGGCTGAGAAAATGGTGCAGGCAGCAGCGACGGCAGGGCTGCCGCCAGACCTCTTGCTATCATCTCCTTGAACAAGGTCATCCCAAGCGAAAGAGACATTACAAGGAAATGGGCCAGAAACAGAAATTCCCATTTGCTCTAATGAAAGTTAAAATCTCCTTCTCCCCTTGTGTATGCCTTGGGAGGGGAGCAGGGTGTTAACTTTTGAAGTCTGCTAATTTTTTAAAAGTCATTTGGATTCTCAGTATTCAGTTGAGAAACTACTACATAGTAATTGTCTACACTTCAAGGAACGATCCTCTCTCTTGACCATATCTTCCCAAGAACCTCTCACGGTTTGCAGTATTGTTTCAAAGGAAACAGTCATCAGCGAAGCATTCGAATAAAAACTCGGTAATTATCTAAACAACAAAGACCCCAGATTTCAGTGCGACCCCAGTACTCTCTTAGCAAGTCCTTGCTCAAGCAGTTATACCTGCAGACTGGGTTCGTAATGGGAGCTTGCTCCTCGGGGCAACCTTCACTCCAGATATGCAAACTAAGGCTTATGTCAGCAACTTCCAAAAGCATCTTCTTTAGAATAAATCCTTTAAAAGAGGCATTCATATCCAGAGGCAAAGGAAGTCACCAGAGGGAGAATTCTGAATATGCATATGGCTCATGCCTAAATGTAACCAGTGCGTGTATGTGCATCTAATAGTCTGTATATATCCACTCATGCACACACACAAAGTTCACAGAAGTGAAGTCAGGCACTAAAAGCTAGGAAATACCAACGTCAAATTTTCTCACATTGGCTCTCCCGTGCACACAATGAAGCAGGGTTTATATGGAAAATAATTTTAACATGTAAGTGCAAGGCTCTGCATCCGTAGAACTATTTTTTTCTTTTAAGATTCTTATCTGATACCCTGCCCCTCTTAATTTAAAAAAAAAAATTGTTTCATCCCATAAATAAATAAATAAATAAATCTTTTTCCTGGCCATAAAACATAAAAATTCCACGTATGGTGACAAACCCCCAAAACTGAAGGGCAGAAAAAGAGTGTGAATCACCATAAAAAGAAGTAAACGCTTTGTCTCTGCTCTGTTTGCAACATTAACTGAAAATTCACATTTGAGGAAGGGCTACATTCTCAAAAAGGTGTCTCCTGCAGCTAGCGCATTTGGGATATGGAAGACTAAGGGTGCAAAAAAGCAATACTTCAGCAAATTACTTCCTAGAAGGGAGTTAATCACTAAAGCATGGGTTGGAATGGCAAGTGTATTATTAACTAGTTTTTCAGGATTTTTGAGAACAGTGTTATAAGGAGAGACTGAAAGCACTCAGTATTTTATAAAATATCTTCTTAAAGATCAAAGATGCTCAGCACAAACGCTCTTTGACAGAAAAGGAAAATGAACTTGGGTTTTGCACATCCTGGAGACAAATCTCAACTAGTGAACAAAAAATGAGAATACATTAGAAAAGTGTCCAAATAAGGTTTGATACAGAAAGGATTACTGGAAAAAGCATTTTTAAGTTTTATATTTGACTCAGTAAGCCAAAGAAGACATTTTCTCTGAGAGGAAGACTGGTTTAACTTATTTGTTTACTTTGCTGGAATCTCAAATTATTTCCATAATCTCATTCCAAATTTCACTGCCCTGACTAGGAGACTGAGGCGCCAGGACATCTCAGTAAAATCACTGTGGCCGATGCACAGATTAAATGCATTTCCCTAACAATCATCATGTGCAGAGAATACAGATGCCAACTTTGAAAAGTTTCAACCCACGTAATGTTTGCAAAAATATAAGCAACTGGAAACAAGGCTACCAGCTTGGTTCCACCTGTAATGACACCGCACCATCTAAGTCAGATCATAAGCCTCAGGTCTCATCTTCCTGTTCCCTGTGGAGCAGCCGTAACAGCTATATTTCCTGGCACAGGATATAAACACTAACCCCTATTCCAAAATAGGAATTGTGGTGAAATCACCGAAACAACTTTCAAAGTCCTAGCCTCTAATTTAAACGAAGAACAACAGAAGATACTTTTGCCCACAATTTACAAAATTACCAGTATTTTCACCAACCAGTAAACACCATGGGAAATGTTTAAAAGAATTGCCTTCACACAGAGCAACAGCAGCAAAATATTTGTTCAACAGTTCTCTAAAAGCTGATGCTAGAGCTTACTCACCTTTCTTGGTAATCTCCCACCTCTCCCCAGATTTGAATACTGTATTTGTCTCCACACATCTAACTATACAATATTCAACAAAATAAAAGCCCTGCAGATCAACACTGAAGTCTATTACTCAAGTTCACCTCAAATTCCTTCACCAGCAGCATTCCTGTATCCAATTCACTACAACCTCTTTCCTTTTCCAGTGGCCCCAATGGGTCCAGATTCCTGTCTCCGGTTTTGGGAAGGTTACCTTAAAATCTGTTTTCAATTACCTGTACTTACACAAGAATGCTACCTGAGAAATGGGTTATTTGCAGGAAAATGCTGTACAATACAGCTACTGATAAAGCAACTAATTCTTCTGTTGCCCCACAAAAGACAGAGTTAACCCACTTAATACTGAAAGCAGTTGATCCTGATGCAGTTAGGTGACATCTGATATATATCTGAAGCCAGGTAACAATTGTATGACTTCCTCTAAAGTGTTCAACTGAAAACTAAAAAACACAATAAATGAGGTTTAAAACCGGCTTACTTGAAGAAGTTTAAAGGACTAGTAGAGGTCATACATAAATTCAAGCAAAGAAGCAAAACAAAGGTTACAAGGAAGAAACAGGAAGCTTGTAAGGAAACGATATTCTCTACTATACAGATTTTTTTTCAAACATGTAATTTCTTTATAAATTCATAACTTACAATTATCTTCTACATCCTTTTTGCTGTCCTCTTCCGCAGGAAACACTTGATTGATAGCAGCCTGAAAAGTCTGTTAGATGAAAAATATTAATATGGTCAGAATTTGATAAAAATATAAATATAGTCCAAAGATGTCTGATGCGATGATACAAGTGAGTGCACTGTAATTGTGCATGGTTAAAAATGAAGTTGCCAGCTTTATAGTTCAACATTTGAAATTTTATGAAGTTCCTAGAGGCAGATGGGACCTTCCACATTTACATTACTGCACTACATTATAAAAATGCAGTCACCATAATACATATTTTTACTGCAATAGTATTTGATGCTCATTTCCAAAATGGCATGTAATATTGTAATTTTGTGTAATATTGTGTAATATAAAAAATAAGGACAAAAAAAAAGTACTGCAAAGGGAACAGCATTTAAAGAACATACAACTTCCTCAGTTTTGCAAAGAAGCACAAAGAATAAAAATCAAATTATTAGTTCAGTCAAAGAACTGTGCTGTCATCATCATATGCTGGTTTAAAACATTCCTACTTAAAATATAAATGCTCAATACAGAATATCCTCTCTATCCCTGAATACTGCAGCTTTGGTTGTTGCTTTTTGGTTGGTTGTTTTTTTTTTCTTCAATAAATCAATACCAAAGCCAGACAAGACCTTCCTTCAAGCCTTGTACTCCAGTTATACAAAACAGCCATTTATCAAGTGTTCATGTCCAACTGAAAAAATTCATAACAATAGCAACTTTGTTTCTTCTTTATTCTCCAGAAATCATAATTTACGTTGTTGTAAAAAGGAAGGAAAAACATCCTAGCGCAGAGGCATTACAGCATCTGCACAGAAATACCTATTGTTAGAGGCAGGCTTTTAATGCTGATTTTTTGTTTACCATAGTAATAGCTTGTTTGCACTAACTACAAATGCATAAAACACCAGCTGCACCAGTTAGACACGACAGCCGCCATGCTGCTGCAGGCACAGGCTCCTTTTCCCCATGGAAATGGAGACAAGAAGTCTAGGCTAATATTTGAAAAGGCAACCAACTGGATCTAAAGAATGACCTTCACAAACAAACATGTTTGCTTGTTTCACACTGTACTCGGCAAGACAGTCCCATGAGAAACACCTCACACCGAAGTTTAAGCAAGTTGCTGTATTTCTCCTAATCTCTGCTTCAGTACAACAGACGCAGTTATGTGAGCTCTTGTAGCTTACGCCATCATCAACAGCCACAAATTCCAACTCCCTGTGAAGTGGAAAGGATTAAAAATGTCTCAGAGCAGAACTAATTGCTGCCAGTCAGAAAACAGTAAGTCTACAATATCCCTTCCCTACAAAGTTATCATAAAGTATGCAACCTGTAGTCATAATAAATTATATTTTGTCATCTTCTTATCAGGATCTAATGCAGAAAAAAATGCACAAGCAGCTTTCCTAAGGTAAACGGAGCAGCTCAATGATGTTGGAACGTCTGAACGTCCATCAGACCAACTTCCTCCAAAATATCCTTTGTCAGAGCTTAGAGGCACCACGGAGGACCTGAACATCTTTACCTACCTCAGAAAGTCGCCAGCTGCTACTCGGAGTTTTAGCAGGGCAGAGATTCACCCTGCTTTCCTCCCCCTCACAATACTGCAGTTAGAACATATTATCCTACTAATTTTCTCTGCAAGTTTGTCAACAACAAAGGTATATCACATTGGTTGAAGATATACTTGAACACAACATTCCCACGTAATCAGCTCACTGTGCACGGAACAGTGGAAAAGTTTAAAAAGAGCATGACTGGCTTCACGAAAACCTAACTTTACTTCTTGTTCTTGTCTGCTGATGCGTAATGCAAGTTTAACCACTAACAAAGACAGATTTTTTTTTTCACAGGAGAGAATGAACATGACACCCAGTTATTCTTTAAGACTTCTCACAAATCTCTGATACTTCAACATTTCATGGATCTAAAGCCAGCCATACCAGATCTGTCCCAGAAGAGGAAGAGTTTTTTTTCAATGTCCTCACCACTCACCCTTCTGATGCAATATAAAATTTGATGCAAAAAATAATGAGAAGTCATGCTGTATTAAGTCCTCCTTCATTTTGTTCACTCAATATCAATTGTGAATTATTTTCTAGAATATTTCAGAAGTGACAAAACAAATAAGCAATATGAAGAAGACTTATTTGAAAGCTGATGTTTTTCTGCTGCACTTTTTTAGATCAGAACATGCAGCCTAGTTTCAACTATGTCAACAGAATTTCAGTCCTGTATGTCACAGTTGGACTACTGCTTTACGTAAGGTGATTGCTTATTATGTAAGTAAGTACGTTAGCTAGATGTGCAGAGCTCTGAGTTTTGCCAATTACTATTAAAATGTAATACATTAAGTAGGAAAATGGGCAAGGTATCTCAGGTCTATCAATAAAAAAAACCAAAGAAATTCTTTATCATGTTGTCCCTTTTTTTTTTTAAAAAAAACATTTATTGTAAGGAGAAAACACTTTAAGCATCTGGTGGAAGACTTTTGCATTAAGACGTAGCTTAGGACAAACTTGTTGTAAGCAAATGGAGAGGATATTAATCTTACGAGACACTAAAGTGGTCTCAGGAGGCAAAACAGAGCGTTTAAGGGTTTTTGTAGGGTTTTTTTTCCCCTTTGTAATGAAGCAGCCCTTGAAATCCAATGGCAATCTTAACTATTCTCCCAGAAACTAGATGAGTGAAAAAAGATATCTTTCCATTCAAACAGGATCTTCTTTCTACTATGTAATCCAATATGTGTAACCATGCCTTCCTTTATACCTTCCAGATCCAGACAGGAGACATCCTTGCTCTCAGCTGTATTTCACAAACCAACCTACAGCAGTACAAATGGTGCACAAGACAGACAAGAACACGCCTCATTCGTGCAAGCAAGCTGCGCTCACTGCTAAAAAAAAAAAAAAACCCTTAGCTTGAAAAACTGAACTTTGAAAGTAAGGATCAGAACGTCCAAAGTACATTCATTTATACTTAGCCTGGGAAAATACCTTTCTGGTTATTCACAGCATACCAGGGCAGGTGCCCATGAAGCCCTCCATGCCCCTTCAGAACCGGTGCAGAGCCTTAAGGTGCCTCTTGGCTGGCGGCAGCAGGGGTGCCGACGAGCACCCACCGCACCGCACAACCTCCCAACTGCTCCCAGGAAGTCCCTACTGCTGACCCTCGAGGGTTTGTTGATGACACAAAACTGGGAGGAGTGATGGATACACTAGTAGGCTGCACTGCCATTCAGTGAGACCTGGACAGGCTGGAAAGTTGGGCAGAGAGGAACCTGATGAAGATCAACAAGGACAAGTGCAGGGTCCTGCACCTGGGGAGGAACAACCCCATGCA